TCACAATTACAGAGAGACTATATCAATGATATTTAATTATTATATCTTGTAATATCTCCAGTAGGTGATAAACTCCAGGTGTATTTCAATGCTGTTTAAATGATTGAAAACAAAATGCTAAGAATAATTAATATATTAATAATTAACAAAGAATAAACATGAATAAAACAAAATTATATAACAGCCACTCTATTAAAGGCACTATCCTAGTGTTATACAGGAGCATAAAATGAAAATTAAACAATAAAACCTAGAAAATGTCTCGGAAAGAATGAATGTACTTACCATGTTGGCAAAAAGGCACCCATTGGTTTGCTTTCCTGGAGAAGGCATTAGAACTGACAAGAATGCAGCTGATAAAGTATTTTGCCACAATCCCAGTTACTATTTATTAGTATTGTAGCTTTATTTTGGCCTAATTGAACTTTCTAAGTTTTCAGAGAGATTGTCCTATAAAACACCTATTAGAATAATTGTTTTTGGTTCACAGAGGATATTTGGAATTTTGAGAGCACTATCATGAGCACAACATAATGTCTTTCGTGGGGGGCTTCACTATTCTCCAATAGTGACCAGTCTTTCTCATATGCACAACCTTTACCAGAAAGCATACTTGTGAAACTGTTCCATGCCAACACCTCCAGCCCTGAAGTTTTTCTTTACATTTAATTTTAGTTCCATGTTTCCCTGGGCTCCTTGACTTTGATTACTAGAGCTTGCAGTTTCTTTCTATTTTTGGCTATCAGATTAGTGTCCTTAGCATAGTGTAAGCTATTGATATTTCTTCCTCCAATTTTAAAATCACACTTGTCATCTTCCAGTCCAGCATCCCTTAATATATATTCAGCATATAGGTTAAATAAATAAGTGGAGACTAGATAGCTTTTTCTCACTTCTTTGCCAACCAGGAGCCAATCTGTTTTACAATTATCTGCCTCTACTATGATTTCCAGGATCAAGGACAGTGGGGTCTGACCACTTCTCTGCTGTTGCTTGGGCCTGAAGTTTGAGTGTCTGGCTTCTTGAATGCCATACTCCTCTTCCTCATCAGAAGATGATTCCCCAGCCATGACAAGCCCACTCTGACCCATGTCTTTTGTGTAGATCATTAATTGGTATTCTTCAAACTCTATTATAACAGAACATCCCAAATACTTAATTTATTATAATTGGCCTTTTAAAATTAGCAATAGACTTTTTATTGGATTTTAGCATTACTTTTTTTGTCTGGACACCACCTTGATAGGATGAACTAGTGTCAAAATAAATAAGTAATATCCATTATCTTTTTTCCCTCTATATTGTAGTCTACATACAAAGCTGGATTGAAACTCCTCCAACCACTTACACAGGGCTGTTCATCTCCTATGAATGGGCAACAGGCATTTTCAAAGATTTTTGGAGGCACAAAAAAAATTATCCATGAAAAAGCAAGCTGCAGTTAATCTTTCTTTTAGCAGTATGGCACAGCAGAGTTCTTCTCTGAGCCTACTGAAAATGATACCATATCATATGATTATGGGTTAAAAGAAAGATGACTATTCTCATTGTTCCTTCCCCCAAATATGCCCCTCCAATTAATTTTTGTTTTAAATCCTTGGTTGAGATATTTCAACCTGGCAATAAATTTAAATTTAATTCTTGTGCTTCTGCCTAATCTAAATAAGACAGAGGCTAGATTATCTGATATAATTATAACATGAGTGCTGTATTACTTCTACAAAATCTTTGCTTCAAAAGTAGTCAAAGTATTTGGCATTTTTATCTGACAGATCGGATTAAATAAACACTCTAAAAGAAAACGATGCTGTATTTTATTCATCTCATTTGAAAATTATATTCTCCAAATATTTATCTTAAGGTTAGTGTATAAAGCAAAGTCTGTTGTGGTGTATATTTTAACCATGTCATCAAACAACAATGTTTTGAAGTGGAAAATTCCCTTAAAGCAACCCAATAAATGTGCACATTGCACAATTGCAAAGCTAATTTTTCCTAAAAGACTGCCATTAGTATAATAAAATCAAAATTAAACTTTTCACTTTGATTGGAAAGATTTCTTAGGCCAAGTTAAGGCTGCAATGCTATATACTATTATTTAAGAATGAGTCAAATCAAACTCAGTGGGCCTTACCTGAGTAAATAATCTCGGAATGGGTATTGCATGGAATCGTTGATGGGTTGATTGAAAGAAAACATATCAGTGGATTTTTTGCTGGCTATTTTAACTGATCATTTGGTTTCCAATTCATCAGTGGGAAATTCTACCACAAATGTAACAGTTGGGGATCAAGCACATATATGGCTCAGTCCCACCTGTGCGTGGCTTTTTGGACTGTGTTTTTTAAACACACTAATTTTACCAGCTGACTGTTTAATGTATTTAAAATTAAGAACATAATTTGGCATTGTTCTCACTGGTTTAGGAAGCTGTTTAATTGAATACTGTTTAGTAATAAAAAGGACTTGTGGTAATTCTTTCTGAATACCATTTGACCTTAGCATGAATGAGTGTAGAATGTAAAAATCATCATGGATTCTTTTCCTTGAACTTTTCACAATATATAAAAAAAAAAAAATGGAGGGGAAAAAAGCAAGCTTCAGTTACGGTACTGTATTTGTACAGCTGTATCTCATTGAATTGAGGCTTGTGTTACACACAGTTTGTGATAGGAAGTATATGCTTTTAAAACAACTGAGGAGACAGATCTTTAACCTCCACACTTTTTAGAATTTTTTTTTGTTCGCTCATTTAGCTTCTGTCATACTCCTAGGAAGTATTTCAAATACAAATTATTGTGCAGTATTGTAGTTTGAATGAATAATTTATCCCCTCATGAACTCATTAGGAAAGGTGGATTAAGAGGTTTTGTTTCCCTTTAGAATTGAAGTTTAAGAATACTGTATATTTTGAACAGAAGATTTTTTTAAAAAAAAAATTCTTAGATTGAATATTAGGGATTCTTTTCTAATAGGTTAAATCATAGGGGGTATCTAGCGGTACAGATTGTGAGAGGTTCATGGTGCAGTCATGGATGATTAAGTTGTTTCCCATAACAGGTCATAATTTACTGGTTATCAATGTTAATATCTAGCTTTACACATAGTTTGAAATTTCTCCAATATCTTGGAATTAGATGACCTCAAGATCTGTTAAGATATTTCATTTAAGAGATTTACATTTTGGTGTATCAATCCTCCTGATATGGTTTTGGCATAGAGGATACCATCACATTAATTTTTAGAATGTCATATAGCTGATGGTATCCCAGTTTATGCCAAATATGTTTAATGGCTTATTTGCATTAATGCAGAGAGGGGTTCCCCTGGCTCCTGTCCAGTCAATTTTCACATTATCATCTCATCACATACTTTATTTAAACTTCACTCATCAAAACTTATAATGTAAATATAACAAGATAACATCTGGACTCTACCAACCATCTTCATTCAGTGATGTACTTAAGGCTGTCACACGTCTTAGGCTATACATCAGACAAACCTGAAAGGGTTGTTCTTTTCAGTTGAGTTTGCCAAACACATTCTCATACATCCAAGATTTATAAAACTAATACAGGTAGACCTCAACTTATGACCATTTGTTTAGCGACCTTTTGAAGTTACAGTGGTGCTGAAAAAAGTGACTTATGACTGGTCCTTGCACTTATGATTGTCACATCGTTCCCGCGTTCATGATCAAAATTAGGGCATTTGGCAACCGGCATGTATTTATGATGGTTGAAGCATCCTGGGGCCACGTGATTGCCCTTTGTGACCTTCCCAGCTGGCTTCCAACAAGCAAAATCAATGGGGGAAGCTGGATTCGCTTAACAACCACATGACCACGCAATTCACTTAACCACTGCAAAAAGGTCATAAAATCTGGCACAGTCACATGATGCCTTACTTAATGACCACTTCACTTAGCGACCAAAATTCTGGTCCCAATTGTGGTTGTAAGTTGAGGACTACCTGTAGTGATCTGGCCACTCAGACTTACTTTAAAGAAATGGTAGTAATAAATGGCTATTGACACTGGATGACATGGATGTGTTAGATTAGTCAATGAAAGATCCTTGTGTTCTATATCTTTGCAAGAAACTGAAGAATTCAGGAATTCTTTGGACTTTCAGAATAGGAGGAAAAAGATACCTGCTTTTTCTGCAGAAAAGTATAAAACATAAAATACTCATCTTCAAAGGAATGTATGTATTGGGAACTACCTAAATCTAAAGAGTATGCAAAAAGAATGGCAATACAATAAGCAGCATACATTTCTTTATTTTAGTTTTACTTTTAAAATTAAATATATATTTATAAACCACATAGGTCCTGTTAAAATGCTTATTTCTTTCCTTTACAGTTTTGTTTTTTAGGTACTCTTCTCCAGTATAAAAATAAATAATTTTCTACCAATTATATATTGTTATTCTTTCCAACCAAATGGAATGTTGGAAATGAATTATATAAAGAGATTTGGGAATCTGGTATTCCATCTCTCTTTCTACCAGCAGAGTAAGTGTTTGAAAACTGAATAGCACAAAGCAAAATTTGGTGTGCCAGGAGAAGATGGCAAAAGAAAGATTGACTAAGGAAATGTGCTAGATCAGGCAAGGGAAGATATAGAGAAATACAGTGTTTTTCCTCATGTACATATACACACTCATGCACAGAGATGCAACATGCTACTTTATTACACAGAAGAAAATACAAATGCTTACTATTGCTGGTAGAGGAGTTGGAAAGAATTCCAGAAGTCATGCTCTGCAAGCTGTCTGATATTTTTTCAGGAGTAACTGCTGGAATATTGATTGGGCCAACACTTACATATGTTTTCCATAGAATTGGAGCCTCATGCATATTTCTAGATGCAGAATTTCTGTGCACATGAAAGAGTATATTTGCTAATTGCTAGATCTTGTTTAGAAATGTGAATTTCGTCATAATATTGCATATTCCTCATTTCCATGGCTCACAAAATCTTTTTTGTTTTTTTGCAGAGATTAATTTTTTATGGGCTGGACACCAAGCACATCACAGTTCTGAATATTATAACTTATTCACAGCATTAAGGCAGTCTGTTTTGCAAAAGTTTGGATCATGGGTAAGTTAGAATGTCCAGTGTGTAGTGCGTGCCCTAAAAAGATTAAAGCAATACCAGATTTTACATTAAGCTTTAGAAACTACAAGAAAGCAGTGAATCAAGCCAGAAGATTATTGCATTTAGATACCAGAGAATGGCATATACAGTGCCCTTACATATCTACCTGTCAACTAAGATCTAGTTCATAATGTCCACCAGAGGGTGCTTCAACTGTCAGCAATTCACTCTGCAGCTACTCAAGAAATGATATTCTCAGTAGAAGCACCATAGCTATGGCATTCTTTTCAGTTCCGATATGTTCAGCATCAAATTACGATGCATCTGTGCGCTCGGGCATTGAGTTAAAATGGTACAGCTATGCCTTCTGATCTGATTTTTAAGTTGTTTCCCACTTTCAAATTCATTTTAATAATGAAAAATGGCTTAAAAACAAATATATAAATGAATATTGGATTTTTAAAAATCTTAGTGCTTATATTCTGTACTCATGAGGCATTTTACTATACGTATTACACTAAAAATGAAAAAAACCCAACCCTCAATGTAGCATTTACCCAATGTATCCAATAAAAAAAATCCAATAATAATTTGATAGATTATTAACTAATACAATCAGTGTACTCCTCAGAGGGAGCTGAAACAGGGAATGCAACCTGTTTTAAAATGTTGTAATCTACTGTATGTATAAATTAAAAAGATAAAGTAGGTATTAAGATATTTCTTTATAATTGATGAGCAATACTGTTTTACATTGTATCATAATAAAATGCATATATTACATTCCCTTTGAATGATCATAATGGGCTCCAATAAAAAACATAACGGGCTTGTTGTAAGGCACCTTGAGTGGGCACTTTTCCTTAGTGACTCTGTGCCCAGTTTCCCTTCTTTCCTTCCTTATCCCTGTTAGTTTGCCAGGCAGGGAACTAATGATCAAAAACACCATGACCTTCATGGTGGATGTGAGGGCAATCTGACTGCGACATCATTGATCACTATTCCTTCTCATGCCATTGCCGATATTTGAACCGGGGCTACAAGAGAGTGAAGAAGTATACTCTAATGAAGAGGAGGAGGAGTTTCATAGGGGGTTGTTGGTGGATCATCTGTGTCGCAGTACTCAACTTTTCTGACCTTTGATACCAAAGCCTTTGGAATGGAACAGTTACAATTTAAGGAATCAAAAAAAAAAGTTTTCTAGGTAAATAGTGGAAAATATGGAAATGGATTAATTGAAAATATGTTTAATATGAAGTTGCAAACTATTTCACCTTATATCAGTGTTTCTCAACCTTGGCTGCTTGAAGATGTATGGACTTCAACTCCCAGATTACCAGGCCAGCATGGCTGGCTGGGGAATTCTGGGAATTGAAGTCCATGCATTTTCAAGTTGCCAAGGTTGAGAAATGCTGCGTTATATTACACCTATTTATTTGAAAGTAATTCTCTACTGTTTTTACTGTGATTTATTTCCATATAATGGTGTCTAGACTTTCAGACTTCATGTATTTACCTTAAATTAAAATTATAATTTGTCTTTGCTGTTTGATACAGTTCACCAACATTCACCGTATAAGCTCTGTCATTTAGATTTATAACAATTTAAATAAGTATTTAAATCATATGCTTATATAATAGCATAGGACCGCACTACTTAGCATCCTTGAGAATCAGAGCCAAACTCATATATGGATTAAGAAGCAAGTAGATTAATTTATTTGGGTAAAGATTCTCTCTTGATTAAAGTGAGATGTTTTTGAAGATATGGGAGTATCACAGCTTATTAAATATGGAATCAGGACATGGTTATCTAACGGCTTCTTGTGGAACGAGACCAAACTTTCTAATTTGTGTAGCATTGCAAAGTCTCTGTTTTCCAGTGATGCACGTTTTCAGATGGACCCAGCAAAGAAGCAAAAGTGTTTCATGCTTCTTGTTTTGTTTCACTGTGCTAAAAATGAATTTTTTTGTGAAGCCAAAATGGAAAATAATCAGGCTTCTCATAATCTCTCCTCATTGCTTTGGAAAAAAGCTATATGCTGTCAGTTCATTATTTTCTATTTCCCTGATAATAACTATTCCAAATTCTTTTCTTAAAATGCTTTATGATACAAATACAAGCTAGTACTAAAATAAGCCTTTGTTGGATAAAAGTGCTAATGTTTTTGGCTTTGGGGTTTTCAGATTCTTTCTTAATGATAATTAAATGGAGCCACATGAGTAGGATGGAAAGTATGGCTGCTTTAGGAATTCATCATTCTGACTAGTAAGGTGTTCCACATCAGAAGAGCAACAAGGAGAATAGTTGAGTTAAGAAATTTAAAATAATAAAACATGGCAATCCATTTTGTTATTTTCACATCTTTATCACTACTAGATTTCAAAGAAACATATTTCACAGTGTTAGAATATGATGGGATGCATCTAATGACCTAGATGCATGCCAAGAGTTTTCTGTTTTCTGGCTCTTTCTGTTCATACTGTCTGAGGTGTGTCATGAATATGCAGCTAGCCTTACATCCACACTACAGCAAGAGTTGCATGATGGAATCCAGCCTTCCCCAGCTTGATTCTGGCTTGGAAAAATAATAGTTCAGTGAATTTGGAGGACAATAGACTGGGGAAGTTTTGTGACTTAATTTGTGAATTCCTTATTTGCCTCATTTTGATTTACAAAGCTTTGGAATCCTTTGGTCATTATAACTCCTTTTCTTTTAGATATTTTACCTTCCATTGGCTTTTTGCATTCCAGCTTCGGTATATGCTGTTCATCTCCAATTTAATCTCCTTTACCAGTTCTGGATACATACAGAGGTAATTTAGACATTTGACAATGCCTAAGCAGCTAGATTGGATCAATGTCTTGAAAACTCACTAGAAGCTGATTTATTGTATTAGAACATTATTTTTTATGATTTGTTTGAAAAGAAGACCAAGCTTATCTTTATTCTTTATTCTCCACTATATACTCGGTTTATAAGAAGCAGGAAAGCCATTTGATCCCAATTAGCATAAACATTTTAAACTATAGCAAGTATAAATAATGTTCTTTTAATACTGACCAGTACTGTATGTCTTCGCTTTATAATACGTTTAAGTTACCACAACACTGAAAAAATAACTTCATATTTTAAATACTTTAAGAAAAATAGGGCTGTATTTATAATGTATTAATAAACAATGAATTAATTGTGCCATTGACCTCCATGATTTGTTCATGAATGTTGCATCTTTGGGTGCATTTGTACATTAAATACTAATTAACTGTCATTCTTACTCTTTTTTAAATACATTTGCTTCAGGTATTTTTAATACACAAAAATATGGATGAGAGTGCTCTTTAATTTCACAGCAGTGTGCTTTTATATTTTTCTATGCTCTTTTGACATGAATGGTTACATTTGCTATTTTCAGGTTGTTATTTCTTTATTTTTTACATAGAACAAATACATATTGATCCTTCCCTTATCAGCTCTTACAAGCTACAGATAAAAACCTCCCTGTTAATCATACCACCACCATCATAATCAAAACATCTAGCTAAAAAATGACATTAAAAACCCTGAAATTTTTTTTGAGTCCTCTCCTAAATTGTAATGGGGAGAAGGAGGGTTTGTTTCAGCTCTGCTGGCAATTTTTTCCATAATAGGGGCCCTAGCGTACAGAATGCTGAGTTCATCATTGATGTCGAATATGTCCATGGTGGGACCCACAAAAAGACTTGATTGATGACCTTGGAGTTCAGGATAGATTATATAGGAATATATGTACTTATAAGGAGTTTGGATTTAAACTGTGCAAGATTTTATGTTAATCTTTATGAGCATTTTGAATTGGGCTAAGAAGACACCTGGGAACCAGAGAAATTGTTTCAGCATAGGGATAATGTAAGACTCAAAGTGTCTGGGACCAGGGATCATTCCCAGACCATTTTCAAGAGCCATTCCTTGCATTGTAATAGTCCTGTCACGCTCATCAGTTCAGGAATTTAGCTGCTGCAAGTCTTCATACCCAGAAATTACACCACACAGTTTCAGGAGCAAGATAGATAGATAGATAGATAGATAGATAGATAGATAGATAGATAGATAGATAGATAGGTTTGTTTGTTTGTTTGTTTGTTTGTTTGTTTAACAAATTTGTATGGCTGCCCAACTCACACATGGTGACTCTGGGCGGCTTATGGAATTAAAACCCATAATACAAAAACCAATACCCCCCCATCCCCCTGGCAGCAATAAACACACTCAGATTAACCATTTGATTGGCTCCGTATCTGCCTGGGATCCCCAGACCCAGTGACAAAACCACGTCTTCAGGGCCTTCTGGAAAAGTATCAAGGTGCGGGCCAGTCTTATTTGTGGGAGAATGATATTGCATGATTGCAAACAAATCATTAGCAAATAAGTAATTTGACACCTAATTATCATCCCGTTCATTGAAATTCTATCTGACTTTAAGTTCCTTTTCAAATAAACTGATAATCCCAGAGGTTCGCATACCTTTGCCACACACAAATAAGTAGCTTTGGATCACTTTCCTCAATAAATAAATGGACAAGTATAATGTTTTTGACTCATCTGTTTAATTGGGTTCTCTTTACCTAGTTTTAGGGCTTGTGTGGAGAACAGATCATGTTTTAGGTCGTATTAGGCAGAAATACTGAAAACTCAAAAGAGTTCACAAACTTTTAAGCACCACTGTATACCCCTGTGGGTTATTCTACATCTACTCTCTGCACTGTATTTTGCTTTAGCAATACCTGCTATAGTAGTAGTGCCATTCTTCAAATCACATCATAGTCATCTGTCTCCAATTTGTGGCCCTCCAGATATATTGGTTATAAGTCATAATTTTCAGCCACGTATGTAATCCAGTACAAAATAAGAAAATAGATTTCCACGTTATGGCCTGCATTTTGATATAATGAGTTTGGAGGAAAAGGGATATATATATATATTTTATGTTATTTAAATATCACAGTACCTTATTTATTCTTTTCTCTATAAATACCCACACCTTACAAATGCTTGATTAGAATAGTGAGGTCTTCAGTTTAAGTGTTCAGTGTTTATAATTCCTGGGGGTTATGAGAGTCAACATTTGACATAGCTGGAAGGTATCAGGTTGAATTCAAATATTAAGGGAAGCTTCCCTGTGCTGACTTAATGTATTATTATTGATTTTAAAACTTCTAAGTGAGTGTATAGTCCTATTGAAGTTGAAGTCCTATTGAATTTTATGGGCTTTACTTTTGAATAGGCATGCATCAGCTTGCACTGTAAATTTGTATATTTTCCCTGCACAGTAGATGTAAAATTTGAAATTGGGTTGTATTAAATATAGATATTAGCCTATTCAGGAATCATAACAAGACATACGTCCAGAAAGAAGCATATATGAATAGCCCCAAGTCCTGAGGCTTCACAAAGCATGTCATTCTCCTGTGCATTCATATGAACAATAGATAACTCTGGGTGTACAGAGCATGTGGAAGCTTCCCCATGAGTAAAAGCCTGATAATGCCAGGCCAGTCTTTTTTGAGGTCTCTACGTGTATTTCTGTAAACGTAACTTCTCCTTCTTGCATAGAGATCATAAGGTTACTTCAGGGAAATAGGGCTCCTGGCAGAGGTGTCAGATCTCTTGATTCAGACAAGGACCATTTCTAATGGCTTGAGTTTCTCCAACAGGAAGCAGAACATAATAGGTGAAATAGTTGCATTTCATGCCAGGTTTGCTCAAATGTGGGTTCAGAAAGAAAAACAACAACAAACAAAAAACCAGATGCCAGCATTCTGCCTTCAAGATAATTTATTACAAATATGTCCTTCTATTTCTTCTATAAACAGTTTTGAACCCTAAGTTTTCACTCCTTCATACCCAGAATACAGTTATATTAGAATTCAAACCCCCATGAATCCCTTTATGATCCCAACAGGCTGATTCTTTTAGCTTGTTTTTACTTGCAAACCAAAAATATTATTGTTTCGCTCCTCAATGTGGAAATTTGGCTACCTCCATATTACATGCTTACTGAAGTAGAAAACTGCCTAATCAGATAGGAAAACATTTGGCGGTGAATAAATCAGGGTTTGCCGAAAATTTCAAAGTGTGCAAGCAGGCAGACGAGCACATATCCTAGGGTTTTTGCTGTTCCCAGGTCCCCTGTAGAGAGTTCACATGGCAAGTATGGCCACCAAGTCCATCTGTAAAAATACATGGCTGGGTTATTTTGAATTAACACAACAACTTTAGTAGAGAAAGCAAACCATGCTTTTATTTTTATGTTTCCTCACCAGATGGTCTCAAATATGGATTCATATTCTAAGGGTGTGAGTGTGTGTAAATCAACTTGAATTTTGGTAAAGGAAAGTATAATAGTATGCAAAGAAAAATATATTCTATAATGGCTTTATCAGTGTAAATAAAGTGGCTCACCTCCTAATTTTGCTTGGCCCTTTTGTTTACATGGAATATGTCTGCGTACTGTATGTATATACTTTTGTTTTATTTTTAAAGGCATGAAAATCATTACAGTTATGTATATAATAGAAGATAAAAAAAATCTTTAGCCTGCTGTACATCTACAGGTGCCATTGAGAGCAGCCTGGATATTTTGCTCTATGCCAGAGCTTCCCAAACCTTCTTGGCTCCCCTAGTTGTTCTCAAACTGTGTTGCACAATGACCCGAGCACTGCAGTAAACTCACAATTCTGTTTATTTAGTAGTAAAATGCTCCATGGTGTCCCTGCGAGTTTACTGTGGCGTCTCGGGGCATTGTGGTGTGCAGTAGTTGAACCACAGCTCTTTGTGGATTAATATTGCAGTATTAATACAGTCCAGTTATGTTGCACTGGCGGTACATGAAATACGCAGTGTGGAGTTCTCTTTTGTGGCCCATGGTTTTTCATGTTACCTTGAGTTGCCCAAGAAGAAGATATGCAGAGCATTGGAAGGGTCACTGTGTTATTCCTAGATCTATGTTGATTAAAAAAAATGTTCCTTTGCTGTATTTTGCAAAAGAGATGAAATAAAGATTTGGGTGTAGTAGTGATATAGGGCTTTGTTAGACAAGGTATAAAATTTCCCTTGAATTTCGTGACATGGTTTTTTCCCATTATTTAAACAAAAATTGCATTCAATGCCTTGCAGTACTAAGCAGAAAAAAAAGTTTCCCAGGATTCAGACAGACTCTGAGGTTACAAATTGATGTATATAACTGCTGCAAGAAATACTGCAATTGTAAGTCCAGTCCCCTAAAATTTGTAAAGGAATCAATTTACTTCTCGCTATGGTATATAACTCTGTTATTTATATGAAGTAAATACATCTGTATGTGTGGATATATATCATATATATGCACATATGTATATAATATACAATGTATAATAGTGCTGATTAAGTCAGATTATAGACATATATGACTAATAATGCAACAAAGTTAGGAAATTTTTACCAGTTCAGATGCTGCTGTTAGTTCTTTTTTGTTTTGGAGACAAATTGAGAACTCTACTCCAAAAATCAATGGGTGCAGTGATGACAATCACTAAATTTGAATTTTATTTAAATGAAAATAAGTAATATAATACTTCAGTCATATATTTAATGACTTTTGCTTGTATCAAACAAAGCTACAAATAACATTTGGAGGTTTCTGAAGGCCATATCCCAAGGCTTTCAGGGGTTACATATGGCCTCAGATTGTATCTGTAATATATAAAAACTGAATGTCATTTATTTGTTTAAGTAGTAGTAGCAGTGGTAGTTCTAGGAGTATATCTGATTTATTTATTCAACTCAATAACAAATTCATAATTGTTTTAAAATTTCAGTGTCAAATTATTGTACTGAATTTCTTTTCTGTATTTCTGGCATAATCCATGGAAACTAAGCAAGTAATTGTGCACATCATAACCCCGTTAAAGTTGGAGGAGATACAGAAACAAACTCTTTAATGTTAATGGTTATGCATCAAGGCTATCAGGAAGCACCACCCAAAATAATGGTCAACACTATCCATTTTGACAATTTCAGTCATCTATGTGTATATGACTGATTCTAGATCTACCCCTGCTTGTTTCATCCAGGATTGACTGAATACATGTTGCTACTTGAAGTGAAGAGAAGCTGCTTTAAGCAAGATAATGCTCCTTTCCATATCATGACATGGGTGGTGAATCTTTTTACAGCAGTTTTCATTGAACAATATTTTTTGGATCACCTTGAGCGATGAGAATAGTTTAAGCTGTAAGATAGTCAACATTACATATAGCTTGTCTTCCTACCCTTATTGCAACTCTGTCTGGTGGGTGAATAACCTCAGTATTTTGTTCTCTGATTTGAACTGCAGCCCACTGCTGTGCTAGAGATGTGGGCCAGAGGTTAAAATCAAACTCTTCAAAGAATCCATATTGTAAGCAATGCTGTTAGCAGGGATTTTAAAATATCAAAAGCGTCTACTTTGATCAAAAAGTGCAGCTCTAAGCCACTTCTAAGCAAAGCCAAAAAGTATGAGTTGGTCCATAATACATCTGTTGAAATTCTAAATATGGTATATTTTTACTAAAGCATTTCAGTGTTTATCTTAAAAACAAACTGAAACTTGGTAGAGCAAAAGTTAGGTGTGGTATTTTAGATAAACTGCTGATTTTTCATTTTATGGACCACAATTCATGGAGAATCCTTTTCTACTTTTAACATCAGTAGAATCCTGTTAAGTTTTTATTCAAAAGCAAGTACCAATGATTTGAATGAGGCCTTCTCCCAAGTAAGTGTGTACAGCATTCGTCTTGCTTAAAGCTGCTTTATTTGATAGAAGTAGAATTAACCTGAAATATGAGTGTTTTTTTTCCAGTCTAAGACAATTTTGGGGGCTTGAACATATTTTGGGATATAATTCAAATGTAAGTGCTTGTGTTGTTTTTGGCTTTTGAATATTAGGAATAGAAATAGTCTCAATCAAATTGCTAGAGTGGATCTGCTTTGTACAAATAAAATGATGACTGAGATAAATATGTGTTTATAACTAAAATGCCTCTAGGTAATAGCTTTCTTATTTATAGAGAAAAATTGAAATTATACCAGCTCTTTCTGAATAAAGAACAATATATAAACACGCCTCCTTTCACTGCACTAAAATAATACCTTGAGATTAATAAATATTACCCATGAAGAGCTGAATGTACAAGATTATATTCTTTCCTTTACCAAATAGATGGTTTTGCAAGGTGTTCTCAATTTCTACTACTATTTCTTGCTTGTGAGTTTGAAAGTTGACATTGGACATGAACAGAAGTGTTGAAAAGTGTTGTAATGCCTAAAAAATAAAAGTAGGAGAGGCAGGTTCAGATATCTGTTCAGCCATGCAATGGATCTTCTTGGACAGATATCCTCACAGTATAATTTATACAGGGTTGATATGAGAATTAAAAAAAAAAAAAAGGAAATTAACAAATATTCCCTTGGGCTCCTTCAGAAAAGAGTGTGATAGAATTATAGCACTATAGGAGTTGAAAACGACTTGATGGCACATAATCAAAATGATAACATACCTTATAGGAAGCAAAAGATTGTTCTGAATTATTATTATTGTTGTTGCTATTATTACACACCATAGAAACCCCCATTTTTTTTGGTAAAAATTGGCTGAATTTTTAACTTTTGTTAAACATTTTCCCCACCCTATAGTTTTCTTCTGTTGCATCATCTGCTATTATTTTACTGAGCCCCAATCAATAGTAATTATATACAATATTTATTTTGATATGTTATTTTTTTCAAAGGTCATTGAAAATCTTGGCCCATTGGAGTTACTTCTCAATACTCCTAGTCATCACAGAGTTCATCATGGTAGGCAATACTAGATTTTACAAATCCATAATAGTGTACCTATTCTTAGATATTATTCAGTGTGAGAAATCAGATATAATTCTCTTTTGCAACAGTTTATGGTTGACGAATCTTAAAGGAGTGTTAAAAAAAAAAAATCCTACAAACTTCATGGGTTCTTATTCCTAAATTAGACATTGGTATCTTATTGATTTAAGTGTTGGTTATCAGTAATCATACACTCTGTATTTTTTTCTTTCATCATGTCTTCCATCCCTAACCTTACATCTCAACAAATTGACTGAACTGTCATTCTACATTATTAGAAAATGGATTATTGAAACTGCATCCTAATGTTTATTGAACAAAGGCATTTGTTACTGTAAATTATATTACAGAAAATATTTGCTATTATTTTCTAAAGCATTATTGTACTTTTGCCATAGAAAAAGAATAGACATATTGCCCTTAATGTAGGACATATTAGAAAGGAGTTTTAAATAAGCCCTTTAAAACCACATTTATTGTTTATGAATATATTATAAAAATGATTAATTATAGATGGGCTTTATCTAAATTAAGTTAATAATGCTTAATTTAAATTATTGAGCCTTTAAGTAGTAATAACAACTAATTTTTCTCATTTGTGTCAATGTCTGGTTCCAAAATTAACATATTGTTCAAAGCTAATGAAAAGTTGTGTTTCAATTTTCCTCTTTAGGCAGAAATCAATATTGTATTGATAAAAACTATGGTGGCACATTAATAATTTGGGATAGAATTTTTGGTAAGTCACTTTTGTCCTCATTACCTTATGTTTAGATTACTGTAAAATGCTCTGTCTTGAACTGTCTTTGAAGATTATTTAGAAACTACAGTCCATTCAGAATACTGCTCCTGCTTGTTGACAGACCAAGGTTAGTTCAGTAAAATCACACATGTATGTTACAGAAGTTCATTGTCTCAGGTTTCTGGGTACAATTCAAAGCGCTGGTTATGGCCTACAAAGTATCAGGATTCAGCTGGAAACTGGACTGCAACCACTTAGATAAGCTAATAAGGAAATCCAAGAATGAAGAATAAGACGTGTTTATTGAAGAAAATAGGAAGCCCTAACAAAATAATTTCAACTGCAGTTCCTCAAGAACTAGGCCAGTTGATAAAAACATGGTTCAAATAATCTTATGCTTGCTTTTCATCCCACCTGAGTTAACAGAATACCTGTTAATAGTCAGATTTGTTACTTACTTTTTTTTTTACTATTTTTTATTTTTTACTATCAGTGTGAGAATGAACTCTCACATGAAGTCCTTTATCAACCTTTGCAGGATGACCTTCTCTGACCAGAGTGTCCCTGTCTTACACACTGTATCTGGAAGGGTATGATTTTTATTACCCTTCTCCCCCCACACCCCAATAGGTCAGGGAAACAGGGTCATGGTACAAGCAAGAAACAGTAAGAAGACTGCCCTCTTTCTACTTAGTGTATGGAGCTTATTAGGTAGTTATGATGCTGCTATGTACTATGTAGATGATTAATTTATTATATATTTTAATATGTTTTGAATCAGTGTTATGACTTTCTGGTTTTAAAATTATTTTATTTGATATTATAAGCCACCCAGAGGGTCATGTAAATGAATGAGTGAAATGAATGAATGAATGAAAGTATTATTTTTCTCTAAAATTTATTTTCCAAACATTATGTTTATCTTCCATCTAGGTACATTTGCTGCAGAAAAAGATAAAGTTGTATATGGCCTAACACATCCCATAAACACTTTTGAACCTTTCAAAGTTCAGGTAGTCCTTTTTATTAAGTTTTCCTATGCTATTTTTCTGTTTTAATAAAAGATCAAACTGTCTTATTTTTTTCCAAGGACTGTGATCATATTCAAACATCATTTTTTCCTATGGCTTAGAACAAGGGTGCAATATATGAGGCCCCAGGCCAAAAGCTCTAAAATAGTCTCAATCTCAACTTAAAGAAAAACAGAACTGTTTCCCTTTTGCATATTTAATAAAGCCCTTCCCGCTTTACATCATCTGTCCACTTAGTGCAGCTCTTAATCTCTGTCTTCCTCTTGTTTAATGAAGCTCTGAGCCATCAAAGGTTGTCTCCTGGTTAAGACATATAGCTCTCCTATAATTATGACATTACTTTAACAAAACAAGTGGTCTTTTACAGCCACTGGCCTGTATTAAATTAATGTTACATTATCAGAATTCTGAATTCTATACTGAAATGAAATATAATACAGCAACATTGAACTATTTTAAATACTTTCCATTTATTTCAAATATTCTGTTTATAACAATGGGGACTGCCCTATATGGGTAGCAGGAACTCTTCCTTTTATTTTGATTATGCATGTGTGCACACATACGCTCACAGACATTCTGCTTTGTAAAGAATGAGCTGCAGTAGTGAAAAAAAAAAAAGTTAACCATAAATTTAATGTTTCCTTTATCATTAACCCAGTGAGTGAGTAAATCTTTGTTCCAGCAACATTCAATGGCCTGTAATAATAAAAATATCAGGTTCCAGGCACATATTTTGTTATTTTACAAACTATTTCAATATATGTCATTTTACCAATGGAAAAGTCTTTCCAACTTTTTCAGATTTTCTCAGTTTTAACGCTGCTTCATGCTTTTTTTTTTTTTTTAATCTTAACATATTTCTCAAATTTCCTTTGGTTTGAGTTTGAATACTGAGTTGTTTCATGTATTAGCTTGTGTAAGTTATGTGCACATTTTTCAAGGGTCTGTTCTCTCCATCCCCTTCTTTATTTATTTCTTGAAAGTGTCTATTGTCATTTTCAACTAATGGTCAATGTGCTAGGTACTAATTATGACTTAAGGAAATAGTCCGATATCAAACCATAGATTCTGATCCTGGTTTATTTCCATAAACCATAGTGATAATCTCTTAAATCTTTTTTTTTTTTTTTTTGGTGCCTTTAACTTCTAGTGATTCCTGGCGACTGCCTAGTCCCTGCATTTTTCTTGGCAAGATTTTTGAAAGTGGTTTGCCATCGCCTTCTTCTTTGGGCAGAGGGAGAAAGTGACTGCCCCAAAGCTACAGCTGGGACTGGAACCCAATATCTCCTAGTTTCTAGCCTGGTGTCCCAATCACTACACCAAACTGGCTCTCCTTAAATGAAATAGTCCAGCTGAAATAGATGTGAAAGAATCCATTTTCTCCATGCCAGTGGAATGGGGAAGGAAGTATGGAAGCTTGAGGATTGCTTATGGATGTTTAGCCTGTTTAACAGTATCTCCTCAAAAAACTTCAAGCAAAGCTTTGTCACAAACCAGCTCTCCAAAATACTGTTTACTTAAAACTGCCTGTAATGAAAACTTCTCTTTTGCTTTGTTTTCTCATTAGCACTTAATTATGAGCAATATAAACCTTTGATTTTCCCATCCTTACAGTTTCATCATTGTATTTATATCTGGAACATATTTTGGAGCACACCTGGATTCTGCAATAAGCTTTCAGTTATGTTCAAGGGACCAGGATGGGCACCAGGCAAGCCAAGACTTGGCCTTCTTGAGGAGATTCCAGAAGTAAGTATAAATGTCCTTTCCATGTTAGGTAATTTCCAGAAACCATGAGCCCTGTGTCCTTGCGAACCAGCTATCCTAATATATGGTTGCCTAAAAGCCAGCCCACTGAACTTAGTGAGATGTATTTTTGTGTACAATAGAGGATCAGATTTGAGTTAAAAAAAAGGTAGTTTATCTTTAATTTTTATAATACAATTGGTGGTTCTCAGTGCATTTAATTGAAAAGAAATTACTTTGATTTCAACACCATTGATCTATAACTTGTTTACCTTAAGATACTCTTTTGAAAGTCTGAGAATTAAGCTATTTCTGTGTTCTGAAAAAGTACATAGATAGGGCTTCTTATGTATTCTTAACTCCCCTGTGCTGGGAGATAAGGTTTCATAGAATCAGAGGATTGGAAAGGAACTTGTTTCAGTGTTGTAGGTTGAAATACATATTTGCTTTATGGAAACTAAACAGGATATCAGTGAGAGAGAGATAAAAAGGGGGGGGGAACGATTGAATCTAACAGCTTGTAAATGTTATATAAGTATAAATATCTATTGAGTTTATTAAAATAACAAATCAGTTATAGAGGTGAAAGGTCTGGGAGAAAATTCTGTTTAAAGAAATTATCAGTAAAATGTATTTGATAATGAATTTTAATTACTGATTATTTTTAATAACAAAGTCTCTCATCTGCTTTATTAACTATAGGTCACTGGAAAGGAAGTTCCTTTCAAGTGCAAATTGCCACACTACACACATATCTACGTAGTAATGCATTTTATCTTAATGATGGGATTTTATGTTGGCTTATCTGCTTCCAAATCTGTAAGTAAAATTAAACTTTACTTAGAAAGGCTACTTTGAGTTACTGGAAAAAGATACAAGAATATGCAAATCATTTGGGTTGCTGATAACATTCAATGAATAAAACTGAAAAAAATATGTTGAATGGACCAGTTATGCTACCATATCCTGTGAGGCATGATTGGCTAATTACTTTTTAATATGGGCATGATTTAAACTAATTGGCTAATTACCTTTTTAGTATGGGCAAGAAAATGATAATTTTTATTGGTTTGACATTTCTGCATTTTTTTAATCTTACGCTTTAGTCTTATGCTCATCCCTTAACCAGCATAAGCATCTCATTTCCCATAGTAAATGAATAAGTAAGCATACAACCATTAATATTTAGTGGGATTTTCTCCAGGAAGTAAGAGGTGACACATTTGGTAACTACTTCTGTCAACAGCTATGTGTCCTATATTAGAAAAATCTTTTTCTCAGCTGTGTTATCAAGGTGATCTGAGCCAAGAAGTTTGGAAATTTCCCAGGCTCCCCATTAAATGTCTCTGGAGGAAATAGGGCATTTTTCATGGTGCAACAATCAGAGCTAGAGGCAGCTGATTACCCAAGTGACTCACCTGGGCCTGCTTGTTATTCATAACTGTTCTGGCTGAGCTAACTGCTCCTTTAAAACCTGTTGTGGTATTAATACACTGAATCCTTCAAGCTATTCTTCTCATAAATTCAATCCAACATCACAATACCAAAAGTTTGTTGATGACAACATGCAATGGGCTAGCAGAATGGAAAAGTCTAGAGACAAACTAAAATCAAATGTTAGGGGTTTCTTTATAACAAAGTAATGTTTGATGATCTGGGAGTCAAGGTGGATCCTCACTGATCAACTAGTTCCATTGGATTTGCCATGATCAGGTTGCTACAATTCTCTTACCTTACCCAAGCATAGCTAGCTCTAATCAGGCTTGTTTTACTTCAATTGGTTACTTGGGAGTAGTCCTACCCAGTTCAGCTGTCTTTGTGTAACCAAGTACTTCTATACCACTCCATCTTCTGATGTTCTGCTCTTAAAGAAAAATGTTCTTAAGGACTGGGTGGAGGAAGCTCCTGATGTCTTTCTGTTGGGTCGAAGACAGGTCAGGTCAGATATTTGGTTTACTTAGTATAGTTGCTGAAATATGGTTTTTGGGATGCCTTATCCTGGTCATTGTTTGAGAAGAACTCTTGATAGAGGACCATGTCCTTTCCCATGATTCTCCCGCTCTGGTTGAGAAGGGCCCTCTTTGGACAGATAGCATCAATTTAAGGGTATTACAGAATGTTGACCAATGATCAGTGCAAAAATAATTGTTTATAGGGCTAGTATTACAAAATAATGGAAAAACTGCATAAGAGTCCACATTTCAGGATTCTTATCCTAGGCATGAAGTAGAAACTAAAGCTAGACAGAAATCTGTGTTGCAGGAATCCTCCAAAAATCTATTGTAGGAAGAAAGCCTGTATGTGAATAATATAACTTGGCATATATCTTCAATATCAATTTTCCACTACAATGAATTATGAAATGCCCGTAGACACAACTGGAGCTTTTTCCTTGGCTATGTCACAAATGTGGCATTGGTCCATAAACAGACACAACTGTTTTCCTCATTTTTAGACATATGTTCCATTCTATATAGCACTTGAATCAGTATATAATTTTATAATTCTCATTTCTATAGTCACTTTATCTTTGCTGTTACACATGAGCACATAATGTTTTTTTCTGTCCATGAAGTTCCTCATCTCAGTAAGAAATGTTTTTCTTGGATAAAATAAGAAACACAGAAGAAAATATTTGGACCAAAAACCCCACACACATTTGGTTAGATGATTCTTTCACAAACAGGTTTAAATAGAACCCCAATGGAAAGAACGTCACTGATTTCTAAAAGGATATGACTCCATTTCAAATTATATTAAGAGGAAATAACTTGAAACTTAATAGTTTAAGACAGCAAGAAATTCTCAGTTGGTTTTCTTTCAGATCTGGTTCTATGTCCTTTTCTCCCCACCATTTAGTTTTACCTAAACAACAATTCTGACCATTTTTGATCTTAGTAAGGAAAGTTGGACACTGAAAAGAAATCCCTGGCTACACAAGTGATATTGTTGGAAACAGTTTTGTTTCATTGACTATGGCTTGTGAGACCAAAAATGAAGGGCTTCTTGCAATTGATGGTATCTAGCAGAATCACTGGAATAGATTTATTTGGCAGGAGAATGATAAATACCCTAAATATCAATTTCATGATTTGAAGAATGGGAAAACATTGTTGTTTTATAAATGTTTTACTGAATGAAAGAGTTTGGATTCTGTTTTGCCACACTAAAAGGCAGATGGGAGGTTCATGGATTCAAAAGCAATAAACACAGAAATGTGGTAAAAGCTGAAAAGGTTTATTAAGCAAAGCATTAATATAGATGGGAAATATTTCCAGACAGGGCAATAAAAGAAGGTATGGCAATGTTCAATAGAATTTCTGAGTCTGAGATCATACTATTCTGATACCATTGATTAAGGGTTTGAAATAAACATATCATCCTCTGCTCATATCATGTTTAAAAATCAAAGACATAATAAATAAGACTCATATTCACCCATCAACTATTGGTTTACAGCCTGCATGCACCACTGCCTTCTACTATTACCACTTCCTCCTTGCATTTTTCCCACTGGATTGTAGAGTCCGCTTGTTTGCATTGTACTTGCCATTTCACATGATTTGTAGTATCTCTACAGTTGAGTTTCACAAGGTAGTGTCATCTTTCAGTTGGCTGAGCTAGTGCATTTTTAGTTGTCATTTTGGCTAGTGATCTATATTTAATTCTAGAGCTGTTCTTGCTGCAGAGTTGCTGCTGTTACATACTACATGGCCATACACCACAGGTGTGATTCTCACATTTTCTCAGCAATGGGGGCAACATCAAGGTTTCTGTATGTTTTTGTTTGTCACTCAGTCTAATCTTCTTATGCTAAGTGACTCCAATAGCATTCTTATCTCCATAGTGTGGAGAGCCTGCTCATGCTTCTTTGTCCCTGGCCAACAGTCCACTCCCTATTACCAGTTATCTGATGACCATTTAGTAGACTTTAAATTTCAGATACCATTTTGTATTTATACATTTCTGATATGTGAAGTAACATTAGTGTGCCTGTCCTATGCATAGAATAAAAATTACGAATAGAAAACATAATGCATATGATAGAATGTGTATGTGTGTGTGTATACATACAGACACACACACACATCCATGAGTGTAATAGTGTAGTAGCTCTATAGTGTATTGATGAATTAGAAATTTGCAGGTTAATTGAGTCCCTTCTGACTTCAAATCTATCACCTGCTTTCTTCCATTGTTTCCTTTTCAGGTCTTAAAATTTCTAGGGCAGGGCTTGACAAACCTTTCAGGTGGCAATATCTATCACTTAATTGGGCATTAATACCCCAAAATAAGAACTTTTTTTTTCTAATGGCCAAAATCTCATGAGATCATCAAATGTCACAAGATTTCAGCAACCTCACTCTTGAGATTTCAGGTGTTCTTATCTGAAATTTCATGAGTTATCATGAAACAGCATTGAAATCTTGCAGGTTTTAGCCATATTTAAAAAATTTTTAAAAATACATTTTATTCCATGTTGGGCTTCCACAAAAAGTATGTAGAATTGATTCAGAGATCCCTTGATTCAGTGAAAGGTCTAAATCTGAAATCTCTTTATCTTCCATTTATAATTATAGCCTACAACATTTTTATATATAACATAAGTGAATTATTTATTTATATGTTTACTGAACAGTAATATCTTGTGAAGAGTTGAAATAGTGTAAATGTCAAACCCATAGCTGCATGAAGATTTATAGTAGGCTTTTAAATTTTGATTTTGTAAAGGATTCTTTTAACAGAATCTTTCACAGACCTGAATGAAACTTTTAGACAATATTGACCTCTTTTAGACTATCAAGCATAGTGTCATTTATTTGACTAACTAAAATTTAAATAAGTTTCATGTGAATAAATTCAGGATGTTCTTATTTAAGACCAGTCTTTCAAATATGGAAATTCCATTTAAATGAGCCCTGTTTTTGTACATTTATTTGGAAAATGGCATATATTGTAGAAGTAGTGAAGAAACTTGCAAAATTTCAGAAATCTAATCACATTTCTGTGGGAGGGAAATCTTGGGCAGAATTAGAGTCCAGAACCAGCTCTTATATGTACATCCCATAGTTGTCAGCTGCTGTCTTTACATGTATCAAAAGAAATCCATATACTCATAGGGAGAAAAGAGGCATGTCAAAAATACAATTAATGAAAAATAGTTTAGTGCGATGTTCTGTCATTCTAGGTTTTAAACATATTGGTAACTTTTCTGTTTAATTTTCCCCATTTTTTTCTTGAGGTGACTCATGGTAATAAAGATCTGTGATCATTAAGAAATAAAATAAAATAAAAATAGTTGATATTACCCCAAAAGTAACTATTAAAATTCCCTTTTTCTGTAAGGAAAAAAAGTTCAGACTAAATCAGAACATGTTTTTGGTTTTTAAGTATATAAAGTGGCTAGTAACTGTATTGCAGTAAAAATAATTGTTGCAGTAAGCTATCCTTTTAGCATCACTTTGGAGTACGGAAGTGAATCTGGTTAAAATGTTGATGCTATTGAGAAATCTGCATTGGCTTGTAAACTGATTAAATTGTTGCGTATGTAAAGCAATGGATCTGTTTTCTTAGTTTAACAGAAATTAAAACATTGGGGATGACGGGTGCCTTTTGAATCTTCAGTAAAGCAAAGCCCACTCAGAAATGCCCTGGATCATGTAGCCTGATGAGTTCTCCAAACACAGACAAAAATAATTTATGCTACTATTAAATTTGAGGATCCGGTTCAACAGCATCCTTCTCGCCTGCCACTCTCTCAGCTGCTGTGACTTTTCAGGATGAATTTTATAGCTTTCAAATCATCAACGTTATTTTCA